GTCAGTGTCATCATCCTCATCACACGGGTCATCATCAACATCATCATCACCAACATCATCATCATCATCATCACCATCATCATCATCATCATCATCCTATTCGTCATCAACATCATCATCATCATCATCATCATCATCCGATTCATCATCAACATCATCATCATCATCATTATCGTCATCATCCTCATCATCACCATCTGCATCATCATCATCATCATCAACATCATCATCATCATCATCGTCATCATCATCGTCATCATCATCATCATCATCATCATCATCATCATCATCATCATCATCGGAAATATAACTGTCATCTACATCACCATCGTCATTCTCATCATCATCTTCACTGTCATCTTCGTCATCATAATTTAAAACAATCTCTTCGTAATCATGATCATCACATTGAGATGCACCATGAATGTCATCTACATAGTCCGAATTTTAAGGGCCTTCTTCATCATCATCATCATTGATGTCATCTTCCATTTGGCGACCCACATACTATTGTCATCAACATCATCTGCGGATGTTATTTAAAATAATCTTCCTCGTCATTGGGATAATATTCAACTTCGTTATCCTCCTCCTGATCATCATTATCATCGCCATTAGAATCATCTTCATCTTCATCATCAGCATCCGATTCAATGTCTTTCTCCGATTCATCATCTGTGTCTTCCTCACCATGATCATCTTAGTCCTCCGAGTTATCATCAGCTTTATCATCATCTTCATTCGATTCGTCATTGGAGTCATCATCCTAGTTATCCTCAACCGAATCATGCGAATCATCATCATCATCATCATCATTCGGGTCATCAGCATCATCGAATTCATTTGAGTCTTCACCCTATTCATCATCATCATCCGAGTCATCATCACCATCATCCCAATCACCCGAGCCATCATCTCCATTACACGAGTAGTCATTGTATTCATTTTCATCATCATTGGAGTCAATTGTTTCGTCGTCATCATTCGAGTCATCACCATCATCATGATCATCATCATTCGAATCATTATCTTACTCATCCGGGTCATCATCTTCATCATGAGCCAAGTCATCATCTTCCTTGCTATAATCATCATCCGAAGCATCATCTTCATCAATATCGGCGTCAGCATCATCATCCTTGTCATCAACTGAACCGTCGTCTTGGTCATTATCATCATCATGCTAGTCATCATCATCGACATCATCATCCGACTCATCATCCTCCTCACCCAAATCATCAACGTAGCCATCATCATAATCTTAGTCATCATCTTCAATATCAATGCCACCATCATCATCATCATCCGAATCATGATCATGATCATGATCATGATCATCATCATCAAGATCATCGTCATCTGTGGCTTCCGTGTCATCTTTATCATCCGAGTCATCACCATCATCATCGTCATTATCATTATCATTATCATTATCATCAACAACATCGTCATCCGTGTCTTTGAATTCATCGGGGTCATCATTATCATCAGAGTCATTATCTGAATCATCATCCTCATCGTCAGAGTCAGAGTCATCATCGTCATCATAACCAACATCATCCATGTCATGTTCATCATCTTTTCAGTCATCATTTTAGTCATCATCCGATTCACCATCATCATCCGACCCTTCAGTTTAATTTATGTGTTCATTTTCATCATTCTGCTCCGAATAATCCTCCCTCACCTCCTCCTCCTCATCATCATTATCAACCAAATCATCCGAGTCATCATCTTCATCGTCATCATAATCCGAGTCATCATCATCATCCGAGTCAATACCATCATCATTTTCCGACTCATCATTTGAGTCATCGCCCGAATCATCGTCATTATCATCCGAGTCATCCAGCGCATAATCATCATCCATTTCACCGTCATCCTTATCATTCCATTCATCCGAGTCATCATCCTATTCCTCATCATCATGCAAGTCTTCATGATCATCATCCGTGTCATCATCATCATTTTTATTTCGTTCATCCGAGCCTTCATCATTTCCGTCATCACCCGAGTCATCGTCATCATCATCATTATGATCAGCTTCTTTCGTTTGCACGTCATCACAGTAATCACCGTCGTCAATATGACGGTGATCTTCATTATTATCATCGTCAGCTCTTTTATCACCAAAGTCATCTTGATAGTCATTCGAATCCTATTCGTCATCATCTGAGTCGTCGTCTTTAATATCACCGTCGCGATCATCAATTTTCTGAACATCATCGGGGTCGTCATCAATAATACCATCATCTTGCTCACCCTTCGATTCATCTTCATCACTATGTGATTTCTTATTGTCATGATCTTCGTCATCTTTTTTCTCATCGTTTTCGTCCGCATCCTCCTCATGATAATCCGAGTCATCACCATCCGTATCATGTTCCTCCTGCTTCTTATCATCACCGTCATAGCCATCATCTTCATCCTCATCGTCATCATCTTTATGGACGTCATCATCCAAATCATCATGTTCATGATCAACATGATGATCGTCTTCCTAATCTTCCTTATCGTCTTCATCATCAGCATCGCTACCATCCGGGTAACTACTGTCTTCATCGTCATCGTGGTCATTATCCTGGTTTCCATGGAGTTCTCCTCAACCATCACTTACTGCTATTACGTACAAAATTCCTCCACATTTCTAGCTCATCTGACAATGATAATGTTTTCACCCCAGCAGACTTGAAATTCCTGGAAGGTGGAAGCAATTATACTTTTATCGCTACCCTCTCTATCTAGTCCTATTCAGTGGCGTGTCTGTCACAGATCAACAGTCATGTACCACATACTGCAGAATACATTCGAAAGTGGGATAATGATAGTAAGTGACAATAAGCTATATGAGTATAGGAGCCGAACGTTTGACTTAGTGCACATTCATTAGTTGCATATCCGTGGTTCACGCGCTCCTCGATCCACACATCAGATGATTTCGAATATAAAAATCGATCACCTTGGTTGTTCGTACCTAAAGACGAACAGTTGAGCACAAGTGGGAATAAATACTCATAAATATCTAATTTGTGCTCCGCCTAGAAGAGTCCCCTGAGTACGAATAACGGGGATTCGAAGATGGTTCTATACCAGTTAGTGAAGGCTAACCTTGAGAATGACGAAGCTGTCGTCGAGCCTGAGAATTCTGGTTTAGCTACTCTCTACCTTTCTGTAGAAAACGTTTCTCGTATGCACATGACCATTTTCGCGATTGTTGCTGTCAGTCAATTATGTGTGTCCGGGACTCCGGTCCATTCATTTGTAGATAGTACTTATATCAGGAATTAAGAAAAAGTTAGAGATAAATTTAAACACCTAAAGCAGTTGCGATAACTTACTTCTGGAAATTATTTTCAACTGAAAAATGGTAATGAACATTTTACCATTTGGTTGTTTTCTGGTCTTCGTTTGTGTCGTGACCAAAAGTGCCACTGTTCGCACAATGCTGAGCTTCTACAGCTACGTCCAATAAAACTTTCTGAAACACGGATATTGACCGTGGGGCTTTGAAATTTGGCATGGTCTTAGCCCATGTTTGTCCGGTCAACTGACAGTTCGACGCTTTTGCTCCTAATTTGTTAAGCACCTTCAGCACGAGCCTGTTTATTTCATCTGTCTCCTACGGTATCGCGGCTTTCTGATTTGCACGAAGAGAGAAGAAACTGTAGAAGTCCAATCCCTCTAGGAATTTCAGCTGCCTGTTAAATTTTTTCGTAATTCTTTTGCACGTGCATTTACACCATTCAAAAAGGTTGTCATCAGAATTGATTTTTCTCTGTTGTGGGAAAAATCGTGAAATTGGAGGTTTAAGTCAATTATAATGTTCTCAATCAATGTTAGCTACAAATCTATCCATAGATTACACTCTCAGTTAGTTCATTTTTGTGTTCACTGGTGGAAGGTGATGGTTTTGGTACAGTTAACCAAACCGGTTGGAGGTAAGGACGTTCAGATAGACCTCCGTATCTGACCTTGCAGCTCTATGTACATCAGAATTTGATGATGGTGTTGTCAATCAGTGCGAATTTCTCACAATAAATTAGAAATTCGGGCGACTTACAAATCTTGTTTACTCCTGTTGGAGATTTTGAGGAACGCGAACACGTCATGTCGCGTCTTCATTCTATTTTTCATATTATCCAATTTTGTTGTCTGAACCGGATAAAGTGGAGTTCTTCTGTCTTCATGGGCTATTTGTGTTGCAATGTCTATTTACTCTTAACAGTACTTTACTGGTAAGTCAGCGGTAGATTGTGATATGATCAAGCGAACTAACAACTCACAATCCATCCAAGCACCAAACAAGTCAACCTACTGACAAAACAGTCAGGTAACTACTGCTATCGTTTCCAGTAGCATTTGCAGAAAGGCCACTCTCCCGAGGATGGTTCCACTTCCGGTGAACGCACCGTATATTGTGGTTGGACTGCCCACAGACTATATGTAATAATTTATGTAATCATTAGCACTTGACTAATAATAATACACATAACACCTAGTTTACGCACTTCACTTTCCACAACTAAGAATTCGGGCCTCGTAATCCACGAGTCCCTCACCCACATAATCATAGTCTGGCGCAATAGTACTTTTACTTTTTCATCGAGCTTACACAAATTTATGAAGTGTTCATAGGGAATCATGGCAAACTGAAGACCCATGGAAAAGGAACAGGACCATCGGTGACGAGAACACGTGGACACAGGATTCTGCTTTGAATTTGATAATTTCGTTACCAATGTTTACATAGCTTATTTGACAAACATTTTCCCCTCCTCTTTGTATGCAGTATTTTTGTATTGGCACCATGAAAATAAAATTGAAGGGGTTTCATTATGAATCAAAACACCGGATGTCGTCCATTCTTTTCACGTATGAGTAAAGACAATTGGGAGGATGAAAAATCACTCGTGATAAAGCTATTCAACTCCCCGACAAATGGCCTCGGTGAATCTTGGAATCGCTCACAGCTCCCGTTCTGTCTAAGAATCTTGATGCACCTTTCTAACAGCTCCTTTCACAAGAGACCTAATCACAGATTGCCTGGTATTACACCATTGTTTTTCACAAGATCGGTTGTTTTCGTATAAGAACACTCTCATGACTGTTGAAGGCTTGCATCAATCAGGTCATAATTGGCGAGGCCTACGTTTCGAATCGGACCTATGAAATAACCCTCACATCCGCAAAGTGGGCAGAAATAACAATAACCCTTTGTACTCCAAGTTAATTTTACTAAAAGTACGAGCTAGAAATGCACTGATTTACGAACTACAGTAGTCGGCACTTCTCAAAATTATCCGGTCGCTTTAATAGACATTTCCGTCTCAGTCTTACCTCGACGCGTACGGTAAAGCAATTCTCTTGAGCGGAAAACTATCTCAAGTAGTCAGCGACTAAATTCTTGGAACAAGAATAAGTAAGCCAATGGTAAAAATCAATGAGACGGAAAATTCACCAAGAGGATACGAGCTCAAAATAATCACAAAGCGAAGCAGCTTTTAAAACTAACCTCAAGTTGGTCAAAATCTCCAGAGGCTATGACGAATAAGGTTTCAATGGTTTCTACCTTTTCTGATGTGAGTATATCGGCGAATACAGAAATGTCATTTGATGAGGAAGGTTGTGAAATATTGACATTCATAGGGATAATCGATCGACATTCGCTTAGGAATCATGGTTTTAATTCCATAGAAAAGCAAGCAATCTGTTTAGTACTATACAACAATAACTTTTCTGAAGACTTGCTGCAGGATCTTTTGATGTAAGCGACTAGGCAGCTTCCGCAATTCCGATACCGATAACCACGGTCAATCCGGTGAAAGTGATATTTATCGAGTTCACTCCGTTTCTTACAGTATCTTAATTTCCAATGCAGAAAATTCGGCCACTTTTGCGAAAATCACCAGACCTGTATTCTTTCCCAACAGCGAAAGCTATTTGATTGAGAAGGTAATGGGTTTTGATACATTTTGTGGTCTAAATGACCTAAAATTACCTGTCAGCCGGCTGGATGCTTCTCAGTAATGCCACTTTGTTTCCGCTTTAGTATTTTATATCTGCCAAACTCTTGTCGGGATAATTTCTCCGTAACTCTACCATAGCCTGATAACACGGAATGCCTGAGGTATTTTGGGAACTTCGGGTAGTGTGTAAAAATGATAACTGCACAATGAGGTATATTATTAGGATGATTCCAACGGGACGAGAACACACGCTGATAACATCACCAGTGAGCACAAAAAGCAATGCCGAATTGGAAGACTTCACCAGCTGCCGCTAGTTTGATCTGTGTTTCTGCTTCAAAATAAGCCTGTTTGGAATAACACACAAGCAATTTATTAATTATTCAGAAGAGGTGCAAAAAACTACTAGGATTGAATCCACATTGTTCACACAAGCTAGCAATCAGTAGCACACATTTGCTGATTCCAAGCACATAGCATAAAGTCAGTGAAAAATAACGCCAATTGAACCATGTATATTTAATTCCGTGGTAACTCGAAGGTCACTGAGAAATCTCAAAGACTAGGTTAAGTATATGATTTGTTTTACCTTAAACTATCGTCATTGAACAAAAGAGGAACTCTATTGTCTGTAATTCAGTATTAAGAATATTGTTAGGTTTCAGGTCAATGGCTTCACCATATGTGTGCATATATTATCCATAGAGTATGGTTGTTAGTTCCTGTCTGCGGTTAATAATTACGTGATTGTTGGAACCAAACATGTCACAACGACTACCTCTATTCCAGCTTAATAGTGAAATCTTGTGGATGGACATCCTTGAATGAGATTCGGTCCTAACCGTAACTTCATCTCACAAACCTTTGGTTTATAGCACTTGGTAGAGCATTATTGACCATGAGTTATTTGTAGAACTCTTTATATATAAAAAATGGAGTGGTAAAAGATTTAATTTGTTACTGATATGTCATCAAACAGTCTAATTGCTAAGCTTACCTTCGAGAATTACGGAAGCACCGTTCGGTCAGTATGTCAGGCCCGAAAGAGGTACGGAGTGTATTGAAAACCGATATGCCATGTGGCGTGTTAGACGAGAATATGTAATTTCAGCCCAGCGGCATTGTAGACGGATAATTATAGCTCCACTTTTCGGCTGGTAACTGAACCCTCAGAGACATTTGATTGTAAAGTGCCTTGAGAAAGGTAACCTACGGTAGCCTAATCAGATGACATCTCACATTGGTCGTATTCCAGGTTTTACTACTGACAATATTGCCAGTAGCCAAAAACTAAGTAACAACGATAGGTTAGTCGCGTGCTGTTGTCACATACATTTTCCAAATGGACAAACAAATGTGTCAAAATGCCCCTAATTTTGATGTGGCATACGGTGTCACGAAGTGCACTGGACCGAGGATCCAGCTGAATCGTATAATGAAAATTTCTAACCACATCCGTAATTAATTGAGTTCAGGATTCGACGATTGTTCCAACAGACATGCTTGTCTTCATTCTCGTATTCCAGCTTCTAGT